TCTACCATGGACTGCAAGTTAATCTTGTCGGAGGCTTGGTTCCCTGAGTTATCATTCACTTATATTGTAAATTAGTCCCCGTGGGTCCTTAGTGGAGTCTCTTTTAAATGATATTTTAGATGAGGCACAGCATATCTTTTTTAAGATTAGGCTTTCTTCAAAGTATATTTCTATTTTTGTAATCAGAAAGGTATGTTCTTGAGTTAATAACTTTAAAGTAGGCTCAAAGGGAAAAGAGGGGAGGTGTTGTCAAATGTTTTGAACATGTAGCGTTAGCAAAATACAAGGGGATAGTTGAGGGTGTTAAGATTAGTATTTCCTTCTGCTGGGAGGGTCCAGGGATGTTTGTCTGGCAGGGAAATGACTCTGTCTTTAAATTACCGGGAGGACATAGCTGATTTCTAGACTGTGAGTCACACTGTTCCTGTCTTCCCTCCTTGGAGAGTTACAAGCTTGTAAAACAGAAATTAAATGGACAATGACACACTGAGTTGCTTGTGGTTCCTTTTCCTTCTCCCCATCCCCCAAAGTTTTTATTCCTAAATCCAGGAAAATGCAAATACACAATTGGGAGATAGAAAATGTAGAGGAGTATGACTATTACTTAAATAATGTTTAAAAATGGGCATACACTGTATTTTAATAAGATAGTTGATGAAGATAATAACATCTAAATTAAATTCAAGGGGAATTTAAAGTATGTAATCAACATTTAATTAGGAATTTCAAGCTTCAATTGACTATCTTCATTCTTATCTTTAAATAAGGATTTCAACAAACATGTGTTTTAAAACTTTACTTTTATCTTGGAAGTTGTTCTTTGAGGTTTACTAGATAAATCTGATGTCAAATTAGAAGGTTTGGACAACACCCATTCATGATAAAAGCCCTTGAAATTCTTGGGATACAAGGAACGTACCTCAACATCATAAAGGCCATATATGACAAGCCAACAGCCAGTATCATTCTCAATGGTGAAAAGCTGAAAGCAATTCCATTAAGATCTGGAACAAGACAAGGATGTCCACTTTCACCACTGCTTTTCAATATACTACTGGAAGTCCTAGCCAGAGCAATAAGACAAGAGAAAGACATCCAAGGAATCCAAATAGGAAAAGAAGAAGTCAAACTATCACTCTTTGCAGATGATATGATAATATACATAGAGAACCCCAAAAACTCCACAGAAAAACTAATTCAACTCATCAATCAGTTCAGTAAAGTGGCAGGATACAAAATCAACACGCAAAAGTCAGTAGCCTTCCTATATACAAACAATAAATCTGAAGAAGAAAAAATAAAAAAAACCATCCCTTTTATTATTGAAACAAAAAAAATCAAATATTTGGGAATAAATCTAACAAAAGAGGTAAAGGACCTATACAAAGAAAACTATAAAACACTGTTAAAAGAAATAGAAGAAGACACAAAGAAATGGAAAAACATCCCCTGCTCATGTATTGGGAGAATAAACATTATTAAAATGGCCATCCTACCAAAAGCAATATACAGATTCAATGCTATTCCAATCAAAATTTCAATGTCATTCTTCAAAGAAATAGAACAATTATTGATGAAATTCATATGGAATCACAAAAAACCCCGAATAGCCAAAGCTCTCCTGAAAAAAAAAGAAGGGAATGGAGTCATCACACTCCCAGACTTCAAACTATACTACAAAGCCATAATCATCAAAACTGCATGGTATTGGAACAAGAACAGACATATAGACCAATGGAATCGAATAGAAAATCCAGAAATAAACCCACAGATTTATGGTCAACTAATATTTGACAAAGGAGCAAAGACTATGCATTGGAGCAAAGAAAGTTTGTTCAATAAATGGTGCTGGGAAAACTGGGTCGCTACATGCAAAAGAATGAAGCTTGACCACTACCTCACACCATATACAAAAATCAACTCAAAATGGATTAAAGAACTAGACATAAGACCTGAAACCATAAAATACATAGAAGGAAATATAGGCGAAACACTACGTGATTTGCATATCAAAGACATCTTTACAGACACATCACCCAAAGCAGTGATAGTGAAGGCAAAGATCAACAGCTGGGACTACATCAAATTAAAGAGCTTCTGCACAGCAAAAGAGACAATAACAAAAACAAAGAGAAACCCCACCAACTGGGAGAAAATTTTTGCACACAACACTAATGATAAAGGACTGATCACAAAAATCTGCAAAGAGCTGATGAGACTCAACAACAACAAAGAAAATAATCCAGTCAAAAAATGGACAGAGGAGCTAAAAAGAAACTTCTCTGAAGAGGAAATGCGAATGGCCAACAGGCATATGAAAAAATGTTCAACATCACTTGCAATCAGGGAAATGCAAATCAAAACTACCATGAGATACCATCTTACACCAGTGAGAATGGCACATATTAAAAAAACTAGCAACAACAAATGTTGGCGAGGGTGTGGAGAAAAAGGAACTCTTCTGCACTGTTGGTGGGAGTGCAAACTGGTCCAACCACTATGGAGAGCTGTGTGGAGATTTCTGGACCTACTAAACATAGAGCTTCCACAGGATCCAGCAATTCCACTCCTAGGTATTTACCCAAAGAACACAGAAACATCAATTCCAAAGAACACCTGCACCCCTATGTTTATAGCAGCACTATTTACAATAGCTAGGCTTTGGAAACAGCCCAAATGCCCAAAAATAGATGACTGGATCAAGAAGATGTGGTACATATATACCATGGAATATTACTCAGCATTCAAAAAGATAAACACATGCAATTTGCAGCAACATGGATGGTGCTGGAAGGGATCATGCTCAGTGAAATAAGCCCAAAACGAAAAAGAAAAATACCGGATGGTCTCACTCATAGCAGGAATCTAGAATACTTAAATAAGGGACCAGGAAAATGAATAACTATAAGAAAGTGAAAATCAAAATCAACAAAAACTATGAACCAGAGACACTTTTGGGGGGTGGGGGGGGCGGGAGAGGAGGGATTGGTGTCAGAATGGGGGGATTGCAAATGTATGAGGAATATAAAAATAAAATTTAGTAATTAAAAAAAAAAAAGAAGGTTTGGACAACAATGAATGCCTTAATAAAAAATTTTCCTTTGCATATATTTAAAAACACATTCTCTTTCCTTCTATGTTCACTGAACAGATAAGATTATGTAACTATCAATGGAAAGCACAGACACTAAAGAGTAGAGATCCTCTGTTTGAAAACAAACTCAACATGAATTTTTTTTGGAATAAAATTCAATACTCAAAACTCTGAAGAATGGACAAGCTATTAATATGCAATATGAATGATAGAGAGTGGCAGATTCCATTATTATACTTATTGGTACAATTTTATAAATGATATATATTTGCATATTGATGCTAATTAACTTGAAGAAGTTTTTTGTTTCAGACATAAAATTCTTAGGAAAGGTTTGCTTTTTTTATGAGTCCAATCATGGACGGTTTAATCCAAAAGGTATTCATAGTTTTACATTTTTGAAGATTTTTTTCCCCAAATGAGTTACTTGTATTGAAATGAGATTCTTATGAAATCTTCAAGTATTTTAGGATACAGTAAAATTAAATAATGGTACAGACTGGCTTATAACACCATCAAGATATAGTTATTATTTATAATAAAAATATGGAATTTAAGTTTGACTTTATTTAAAATTTATAAAATATATATGTTAATCTCAGACATTGTTTTTTCATTATATCTTTTATTCATTTTATTATTTTTCTATAAATCAATATATCCCAAGGTGCAATTTTGGAAACACTAGTACTGTAAAATGTGCCACAAAATAAAATATTATTTATCAAATAAATTTGATAAAAGCTATGCATTCTGGGGAATTAGTCATAATTACTTTAGGTATGATAATCGTTAAAAAATTATTAACAAAAAATTAACAATTTTTTTAAAGGGTTGATCCTTTAGATGGGCATGCTAAAGTATTTATGAAAGAAATAATGCAATTTCTAAGCTATATTTATACAATTTTGAAAATGGGGGAGAAGGATAGAGGTGAGGAAGGGGCTAGGTTAACCATATATGCAAAATATTTATCTCGTTCAATTTCATTGAGATGTATATTGTATATAAATATAACATCAGAAGTATTATTAAAGGAAATACAATTTCAGAAATAATAAATCATAGTATATGTTTTGAAAGATAAAAAGCAACTATTTATGAGGGAATGTTAATCAAAAATCTAGTTATAAATGCTTAACAACTAAATAAAAAGTTCTGTCTAAAAAGAAACAATTCATATCATTATCAACATCAATAAATAATTTAATTGTTATAATTTTTCTACATTTCTATAAAATTTGAGAATCTCTTAAAATCCCATTTACATTCCCATAAATTATTTCTGACTCTAGGAAATTTCAAGTAGGTAGAAATATTCCTCAAATAATATTCTATAATTGCTAAAGAAGATTTACATTCTTGCAATATAATTTTATATGTCAGAAGCCACATTCTGGTTTCTAAATAAATGAAAAAAATTTATTATTTTAAAAATTAATTATACATATAACTTTTAAATTCTGCATCTATAGATTGTCTCTGTTACTATTTATAACTGTCCTTTCTTTCCAGATTTGTTAGGGATGAGCAAACTTTTTTATTGTTGACTTTTGTGAAAATTCAAACAAGAACATTTGCATTTATTACAATACACTGCCAAAAATTGCATTAATTTTCATTGATGCCCATTAATTTGATAAATGTTTTGTCATTTGTACCATTTACACTGTCAAAACAAGTTAATTATATCTTACTGACATTTTTGACAATTGCTCTAAGTCTGGTAGGAAAACTTCAACAAAAATTCACTGTTGACTATTGAAAGTTTGAACTAAGCAAGAGATGACTACTGTGTATCGGAAATCTTGCAAGGTCTAGGGAACAATGGTAAATGACTTTTCCCCAGAATACTTTCATAAAAGTACTCATATTTTATAGTAGAAAATATTATAATAATATGTACCTGCATAATCTGTTCTTGCATAATGCCCATCTTCAGATTTAGTAGTTGTAGTTGTGTTATCTGTGTTAAAAAATAATAATAAAGATTGATAAGCTGTTTCCTAAATATGTAATGTCAAACCTCTATTATCCTTCTAACAGTATCTTGCAACTAAGGAATTTTTAAAATTGATTATTTTTTTATTGTGGTAAGTCAGTTTAAAAACACTGTACATGAATCAGAGGTATGGAGTCACACTCTTCACATTGTGTATTACCACACCACATTCACCACCAAAGCACCCATAATCTTCCATCATGGTCCATTGGGCCTGCTCTCCCCTTTGAACCCACCCTCCCCACCCTGTACTCTTGCCCTCTGGTAGACTTAATTCTATAGTCAGATTTCTATTGTAGTTTTGTCTGTTACTTTGTTTTAGTTCTCTATAGTCTATATATGATTGAAGTCATTCAGCAGTTAATGAATTTTCGCAACTATAAATGACAACCTTTGTGTATTTTTATATAATGACAGATTTACATTATTAGTTTCTGAATAATAGAGTGATACCTGTTTGCTAAAGTTTGAGATAAGAAGAAGGTTCACAATTATGATTGAGGTAAGTTGAGTCAAAAAATAACAAGTCACAAACCAAGAAAATGTCTCTGAACAAGAAGCAAAATAGAAAATTTTAGTACACCTGCTTTTGAAAATGCACTCAAAATACTTCTTTTGGAGCAACACATAATAATGGTATGATTTGCTTTTAAATTCAAGGTTGTCTAATAAACCCTTAAATTCTTTACTAATAATGATTTTGATTTTGCTTCTTTTTCTTCTGCAAGGAGAATTTCCACAATCTTTTGAATATTGGCTTCTCTAGTTACCGCATTGTGAGGATACAGTCCCATTATATAGAAAAAGACATGGACTGTTTGAATGCTACAGTAGAATCTACTATCTTTGATAAATCAGAACTATCTTTCAGAAATGAAATAAATAGCTGCCTAATAAGGAGTTAACTTCACTTTTCATTTCTATACAGACTAAATATATTCTTTGAAATGAATTTTGGTATGAGCATTACCTTCACATCGACCCAACGACATGACTTCAATTTTCTCTTGTTTCTGACATGATGCTTCTTTGATTTGACATGCATTATCATAAGATTTCCCATCAGAAGCACAGAGGGGATTGAAGTTGGTTTGAGAACAGTCAATGTTGCACACACACCTGAAAGAGGAGAGAAATAAAAATATGTAACATCAATAGCGTTGTTACCACATTATAAATAAAATACAATGTGGAAGAATTGCTAGGTTGGCAAAATGCAAGTTGGAAAAATTGAATTGCATCCTTCTAGGGAGGTTCCTTCACTTTTCTACCTGAGATGAAAAGAAACACAGAACTAATCAAAACTAATTCAAAAGACTGAACAGTGGATAAAAATAAAAAAGGGAAAACTCAGAGAACAACCATCAGTTAATCTCTGCTACTAGGACTTTGAATACATGTGAGTACATTTCCATGCTGATGCCTGCAGAATTTGAATAAGCTGAGGTAACCATGAAACTCTGCTTTACAATTTCCTGAAATAAATTTCTTCTATGTTACTTCTTTTCTCAGGATATTTGAATGGTGGAAGCTTGAGGAAAATGATTCAGAGGACATTTAAAAGAAAGTAAACAAGTAGATGATCTGGAATCAAATTTCTTCAGCATCCATGAGGATGCATGTAAAATGTGCTAAATAGTAATCTTCAGTGGTCCTTAACATTTAGGGGGTCATGAAATCCTTGAGAATCAAGTGAAAGGTATGATGTCTCCTCAAAAATCACAGATCCATACAAAGATTGTTTCCATAAAATTTCAGGTTTTTTTGCGAATTCCTTGAAGTCTATCCGGGGGACTTCTTTCCCAGATTTATACTATTCTTTTCCTACTTTTAGTTTTAAATACTAAATATAAGCTGATTGCTAGTTATGATTTTAATATTTTTCTATGATATAAATAAAAATTTTGTGAATTAATGAAATTAGGTCGCCTAACCTAGAACATTTTAAAGCAAACTTCATGTGATTTTTTTCCCCCCCTATGCTTTATAATTCTCGGCATTTTACAATCTATTTCATTACTCAGAATACTGTGTTTTTTTTTGTGTGCAAAATATGTTATTACCTTAGAATATAAGCTCATATTTAAAATTTTTATTAGCATTTACATTATTTTTCTAAATAGATTATATGCTTCTTCAAGTGGTGAGCCTGCCTCTTATGTGGATTACTTGGGGTTTGGTATATAATACAATGATAACAAAAACAACCACCTTATGACATGCTGGGTTTTTAACATGCATTGCTCATGTGATCTTCACAACAGCTATTTTACAGACTAATGATATTAGATAAGGTCAGAGAGCTAGTAAATTGTGGAACAAAGACCACCTATTGATGTGCTAACATAAAATGAAACCGTTGTCTCTCACCACAGTCTGAGTATTAGAATCTCCAGGAGAACTTTTAAATTATTGATTTATAAGCAGGTTTCTGGGCCTCAGTAAATCTGGGGGCAGAAGCTAGGCTTCTGTATTCCTAAGCAGTCAGCCTGGCAGCAGACCCACTTCCTGGGAATCACTGCTTGATCAGTTTGTTGATTGAGTGAGAGAAGTTTTGTCTTTACACCAGTGCTTCTCAGAGTGTAGTCCTTAGACCATCTGTATCAGAATTGCTTGGATCTCTATTAGAAATGCTGGGTAAAAATGTGCTAATTTTTTTAGTAAGAGATTTGCTTTGGGAAAACGTGATTATTTTTATGTTCACCTATTTAGGTACAAATAGCAAAGGTAGATGGTATCCATCTCTAAATGCTTAAATCATGAATATTGGTGTTTTCTCCTTGGCTATGATGCTGTCATGTTACTGGAATGATGATGTGGTTATCTTGGCTGATTCTTGGCATCTGGAAAATCTGAGATTGGGACCTGCCTATTTGTTTCAATGAACTTTTGTTTCTTCACAGTGAATATGGAGACCAGACTTTATAAATGAGGCTTGCTCTCCTTAACCATTTGTATCAAAGAGGGGAGGGGTTTGGCATTTTATATTTTTTAAAAGGTGGTTCTATTTACCTTCCAACCAGTTTAGACTTTGACTGTTGTTGTCTTAGACTCTAGGAGTTGCTCCTTTGAAATATGCCAAAATAATTATCTGTCAGAATGGCAAGTCAACTCATCTGTTTATCTAGCAAATTATGTGAGACAGCAAGGTTCTCCAAGTATCTCCAAATTAAATCCAGTTATTAAATTAAATCAGTTATTTTCACCATATATAATCTTCACAAAAGGAAATGACTGACAGCTCAGAAGCCCACTTCATTACATAACAAAATAGTGGAATCAGAATAGGATGGGAAGAGAAAATTCGGTTGAGTTGAATTGATTAGATTCAATGTCTCAGTGAAAAATTTACTTAAGCCATATAGCACCAAATTAAACAATTGTTCAGTATATTTTATAATCTCCTCCTTTTCCTATTTAATATTTTTTTTTCTAGTTTGACTGATCTGATCTTAGTCCCACAGATTTTTCTGTTGCTAAAATATTCTTTTCTTTCCATTTTAAGCATTGTTTGCTCAGGGTCTCCTTTCAAGGTTGGTTTCCCTCTTGGAAATTCCTGACTCTTGCTGCCTCAGGTGAAATGTTTCAAGGAATGGCTAAGAAAAAAGTACAGACATTTGGCATTTCTATTCTCATCTCAAATGGAAGACCTAGATTCCTTGAGGTGAAAGTAAGATATAGTTTGCTACAAACTTCACAAGTGCAGAGATATTTATCCTTTTCTCAACTGTATAACACCATTACCCTTTCCTCTTTCCTTCCTCTTATGGCCTTGCATATATCAAATAAAGGCATGAGTATAATAAAAATATCATGCTTGTAAAGTTCAGCAATTATTGAAAGCTGTAAGTCTATTGAGAACAATTTTCTCTTTTTGAATAATTGCAGAAGCTCAAAAATGTGCTGAAATGGCTTGAAAACTCTATGTAGCCTTGAGAAAGGAAAACATTGTGACTGGCTTACCAAAGATCTACCATTTCTGTGTTTATGTAAGACCAATGAACTTTGATTATATGATCATTATTTGCTATAATTTTGTATCTAAAGTTTAATAACCTTAATTAGTTAGAAAAATCATACTGGATTCCAGGAATGTTGTCTGAAATTCTAAGCTAATTTTGACCCCTACTGGTTGAGGATAAATTATCTTTGTGTTTCCTATCCCAATGTCTTACATATACTAAGCTTTCAATAACTATATATTTAATAGTTAAACAAATGAATAAATGACGAGGGCAACATGATTTTATGTTTTTTTTTTTTTTTTAAGATTTATTTATTTATAAAAGCACTGGGTACAGTCAGAAGTGCGGGAGTTTGAGAGAATTCACCAGAGCCAGAGCAGGGAGCAGAACAGGCAGACGGATGAAATACACTGCTGAGGGGAGCAGCGGGTGGCAGGAGAGGTCTGCGCGCCATGTGGGAACCTCACCCAGCAGCCAGGGATCGAACTGGCGCTGCAGAGGCTGCGGGCAGCTTTGTAAGCCAGCGCTCAACCGATGTGCCACCGGGGAGGCCCAACATGATTTTATGTTCTTAAAGAAAAAGCAGCATTCATATAAATTATCATCACTATACTGCCATCAAAACAGACAAAGGAGAACTAAAAAACTTTCTTGGAAAATATTAACTATTCTTACTGAGATAAAATGAATATGCAACTGAACTTGAGGATAATAATGATAGTAACAATAAAACTAGTTTATATGACATATGCTTTATATCCTACTACTTTTCTTTCATCTTCTCGCTCTATAAAGTAGTTACTGTTACCATTTCCATGTTGCAGATAAGAAAATTGGGTCTTGGAAAATGTTCATCGTTTATACAGGGAAGAACCTAATTTCAAATATAGACAGTCTGATGCCACAGCTTGCAGTTTTCTACATAATGTGCAGTACAAAAAAAAGGAAGAAAGACCCAAATTCCTACTATTAACTAATTAAGGCATACTTTGGATGAATAGGACTTGGAGGAAAAAATGAGGTTAAGTCTATTCTTGGAATATTTATCATTTTATTATGTTAAATCAAAATGGCTCTTAGTCTATGTCTTCCCGAACAAGTGATGCAGGATTTTTAGCACCATAGGGGTATATCAGTTAATGTTAGCTTTAAGATATTCTGAACTAATAGTTGGTCTTAGAATGAGTAACTAATTGGATATGTATTAAATAATTCTGACTATTCAAGGCAGAGATTGTTCTGAATATTTTATACTTAAGCAAACTCTAAGTAAAGTTGGTTCCACATGAAAACACACGTATACACAGCATGCACCCTGACACTGAAATTATAAAATTGGAAAAATTTAACAATAAATCTTTCCAAGCATCTGTTTCAAATTAAAGAGTCTGGAATTTTGGGAAGTTTATATTCATGGGGCTGAGTAATTTTGTATGTTTATATGAGTGAATGAATTTGTGTGCATGTATGTAGAGCATGAAATCTGGTAGCATTGACTGCATTGCTAATGAGACTATTTACTAGTTTATATTTTTACTTTTCTGCAACCTTCTCAAAGGCAAGATACCTTTTTTGACCTTTGAATTCCTGGTACCTAGCATAGTTCATCTTAGCAGCTCTTCAATAAATGACTGAATGAATTACAGAGAGAATGCTGCAAAGGAGTGGAAAGGAGTTAAAGAAAAGTCAGTGAGCCGGGCATGAATACGGAGGTAAGAACTGCTGATCGGGGCATACAAACTCTCACTAACTTCCTGCCACCGGGCACATGAAGTCTCTACAGAAAGAGAAGGCTGTGAAGAACTAATGTTCACCTTTCTCCTCTTATTTGAATCTACTCAGAAAAAGGAAACAGAGCAGGAACCCTTACTCGCTTTAATGGCATCAAGTTCAATTGTGCAAAGATATTTTCAATAGCCTGGTTTCTCCTTAGACTTTGTGGTACCTGAGTGCAGTTTTTAGGAACCCATATCATTTGAACTTGGTAGCAACTTGTCATTTTATTGCTATTTCAAACCATAGAAAAATATAAGGTTCTGATGAAAAGGTGACAGAATTATCATATAGTGTAATGGTGAAATTGCAGGTCACTCTGTACTTTAGCAGCTTATGTAAATTAATCCAGGGTTTTTCTTTCCACAAAAATGAAAGGCG